CCAATATATAGGGCAGGGTCCCTAGGCCTGGTCAGCAGTCAGGGCCATCTGTGGGGCAACCAGAAGATGGGGCGATTGGGGGGGGCCTCTGCTGGCACCTACCTTGGCTGGCGGCCTGGCACTGCCCGCTGGCCAGCCCCGCCCCCCTGATCGCCGCCACCAGTCGCATCCCTCTCGTGGGGCAGACGCTCAACACAGTGGTGGTCAGTGCACATCATAGTGACCAGTCGTTCTGCCGTTTGGTTGATTTGCATATTAGGATTTTATTATATAGGATAATTCAGAATTTAAGAATAACTAAGTATAGTAAAATAAAAGTTGAGTATTAACATATTTAGGATGAAAATATATAGTAGGAAAAAATATCCATCAATTAGTTAGACGTCAGAAAATTTCCATTTGCTTACGTAGCGTATATATGTTAAGACTAAAGGTCAAAACTAATGAGAATCCATGAATAATAATTTTAAAATCAATGAACAAGAGCCTTGTTCACACATTAGGAAAGATTATTCTAAAATCTAGACCCTCTACACCCTGAGTACATGTGCCTTTGCAAAATGCACAAAACCCTGTAATTTGTGGGAAATTACTCCAGGGGAGAGACTATTTTATTCATCTTTGTACCCCTATAGTGCCCAATGGATTAAAATAAAAGAATACTTGTTAAAATCAATATAGACATTTAAATGACTCTTGTCCCATGTAAAATAAGCCATCTTGGAAGGCTTATACATTATAACAATAATTTCATTTCAAAGAACCTACAATTGGTCTCCACTATATACATATGACTGGAAGTTAAAATTCTAGTCTGAGATTCAAGTCCCCACACAATTTTCTTTCCTTTTCTAAAAGTCTCATTTCCCACTTCTTTCCTTCAAGCATCTTATCTGCCAGTCAAATTGAATTCCTGATTTCACACTTGCTTGTCTCTGTACCTCTGATCATTTGGCAATTTCTTATGTCATGTATCATTTCTCCCTTGCATTGTATCTTATACATAACTTGTTTCCCTTACTAGATTGTGAGTTCCTTATGTCAGAGATCATGTCCTATATGTCTATAACTACATTTTATCACCTAGCACAGTACCTGAAACATGGTAGGCACCAAAAAAAATCTGTTGAAGGAATTACTGTCTGAATAATACCAATAGAGCTCAAATCTGGAAACTACTTCTTGACAAGCTGTAGAAGAAAATGGTTTCCTTAATCTACAGGAGGGTTCTTAAATATAAGTAGGCATTAAAAATACCTAGGAAAGCCCTAGCTGGTTTGGCTCAGTGGATAGAGTGTCAGCCTGTGGACTGAAGGGTCCTGGGTTCGATTCCAGTCAAGGGCACATGCCCGGGTTGCAGGCTCCCTCCCCAGTAGAGGGTGTGAAGGAGGCAGCTGATCAATGATTCTCTCATCATTGATGTTTCTATCTCTCATCTCTCTCTCTCTCCCTTTCTCTTCCTCTCTGAAATCAATAAAAATATATATTCTTAAAAATAAATAAATAAAATAAAAATACCTGGGAATCTTGCTTAAAATTCTTCGTGTTAGTTGTCACCAGGGGACTTGAAGGACTACCAAGAGGCACCTGAAATCTATAATAATAAAAGCGTAATATGCTAATTAGACTGGACAGCCAAACGACCTTCCAGATGATCTTCTGGATGAAGCCACGGTGGCAGGGGCCAAGGCAGAGGCAGTTAGGGGCAATCAGGTAGGCAGGCAGAGTGGTTAAGGGTGATCAGGCAGAGTGGGTATGAGTGATCAGGCAGGCAGGTGAGTGGTTAGGGGTGATGAGGCAGGCAGACGAGTGGTTAGGGGTGATCAGGAAGGCAGGTGAGTGGTTAGGGGCAATCAGGCAGGCAGGCAGAGTAGGTATGGGTGATCAGGCAGGCAGGCAGAGTGGTTAGAGGCGATCAGGCAGGCAAGCAGGCAAGCAGTTAGGAGCCAGCGTCCCGGATTGTGAGAGAGGGCAAGCCAGGCTGAGGGGACACCACACCCCCCCCCAGTGCACAAATTTCATGCACCGGGCCTCTAGTTATCTAATAAGAGGGAACACACTCCTGTACCACTGTTGAGAGTAAAGAGGACAAAGGGAAGAAGCGGATGCAGGAGGGTGACAGGCCAGTTATCATCAAACTCTTCCTTTATAGGAAAGTCATCCCTTGGCCTTTTTCCTTACATCTAATCTTTTGATTTTTGAAATCAGAATGACAATATGTGTTTATTTTAAGTTCCATTCACTTAAATGTACAGAGAGAAACAACGTTCCTCGGAATACTCTTGAGATATGTTCCATACTTCAAAATGGACAATACATAAGTTAAACCCTAGAAACTTTTTATCCAATAAAGCTCTTTGAAAAAAAAAAGTTACTATGTGTTAGATATTGCAAAAGATAAGCTCCGGTTATAAAGCAGCAAGACACTGAGAGAACTGACAGGTTCCCTTTAGATTATTTCAAACACAGGATATGAATTACAGGAAATAAGACTTCAAGTGGTTAAGAAGAAAAGAGTGTTGCCTTTTAGAAGTTTATAAAATGCCGGAATTCTAAACTTCAGACACTGAACTCCTTAGTCCAATATAGTACACACTATCTGTCGCTTCCCTAACCACTTGGCAAAGACTACATAGGAACAAATGTTACAGAGGCTCAAAAATGGAGACTTCTGGAAAAATGACCAAAGCCAGAAATAAAGCTGTACTAATTAGAACACAAATAATTACATGGCCAAACCCGAATGTTGTGTGATGCTGAAAAGAAATAGATTCGAAGGCACACCATCTGTTTTACAGTTTTTGATTTTGCTGTACTACAAATCTACTCCGTACATTTTGCAATGATCTATTTAGCTGCTAGCTCATTTGCACAATTACTTAGGCCAGAAATATGTGTTGCACAGAATAACTTGAGAGATCAACGTAGTCATTAGAGAGGGCAGATATAACCCATTTTTGAGTGAAGAGTATATTTTTAGCCCTTGGAGAAAAAAATATTCTTCAAAGAAGTAATTAGAAATTGAAGAGTGATATGGTATCTAAACTTATCTGGGCCTTCAGGTCACCATCAACCTCTCTGTTGGCCATTTCAATGGAAACTTCTCATTCTCATCTTGACCGTTCAGCAGCCTTTACCTGTGAGCTGCCTGCTCTCGCTTCTTTCTCAAACATCTTTCCCACTTAACTTTCCTGACACTGCTCTCAGAATTTCCCTCCTCCCTCACCAGCTGCTCCTTCTCAGCCTCCATTGCTAGCTCCTCCTCTTCTAAATGATGGAGTATCTAAAAGCAGGGTGCTGGGGTCTCTTTTCCTTTCTATCCGTATTTTCTTCCCAATTTCTCTCTTCAGCCCAATAGCTTTATGTGGCATCTATATACTCCCGATTCCCACAACTATAGTTTCAGATCAGACTTTTCCAGCTCCAGACTCAGGTATTCAATTATATTTGATCTATCTATGTGGATACCACACAGGCATCTCAAACAGAGCATATCTAATGTGGAACTCTTGAGTCACCATCCTTCCCCCAGACCCAAAACAAAACAAAACAAAACAAAACAAAACAAAAACACCTGTTTTTCTTACAAGCTTCCACATCTCAGTTGGTGGTACTACTGTCCAACCAACTGTTAACGTAAAATCTAGGAGTCATCCTTGAATCCTCCCTTCTGCTCATCTCTCATCTAATCCATCACAAAATCCTGTCAATATACCTAAAAAATAGATATCACATTCATTTTTCTTCAACTCTATTGCTACCGTCCTGTCTAAGCCACCATCATCTCTCAACAATAAATACTACTGCAACGTGGGCATGTCACATATTCCCAGTACCTAACATACTGTCAAAGTAACAGATATAAAATATGTTTTTCATAGATGATTACTGCTCAGCAATATTCTTATACGTCTTGACAAATCTCCAGTCTCAGTTCCCAGACATTTTCGGAGATACCTCCAGACTAATTCATTTACTGAACCACTGACTCGTTCAGCAATTATTTGAGTGCTGTATTAATGGGTACTAGGTTCAATTGCACATTCTGCAGTGTCTTAAAGGTGACGGAAGTTTGTTGCCTGCTCATAGAGAAAGGTCTAGAGGGAGGCAGTCATGGGCTGGAATGGCAGCTCTGTGAGCTACAGCCCTGGTTCCTTGCATCGTGTTGCTCTGCCATCCTCAGTTTATGGACTCCACTCCGATATGGCTACTCAAACTCCAGCCATCACATCTGTATTCCAGTCTCCAGGAAAGAAGACAGGCATGAGGAATGCCATAGCCCCTCCATTTAAGGACACTTCCCAGAAACTGCACTACTTCCACTCAGATCTCATTGACCATCACAATAACTAGCAAAGACGGGATAACCAGCAAAGAACACCAGACAGCAATGTTTCCAGCTAAAAGTCAGGATCTTCGTTACCATAGCAGACAGGGAGAATAAATATTGAGAGCTAAGTGGCGGCCTCTTCCACAGTTCCTAGAGTATCCAGGTAATGTTCTGGGTTCAGGGACACAAAGATCAGTTAAGACACAGGGTCAAGGAATTCAGTCTAATGGGGAAAAAATATGTAAATGAGTGATTGCTCAAGATTGCAAGCTAGGCAAACAGCCACTGTTAGGAGACATTGGCTTTTCTGAGTCCCCAAAGATTCTTTGAAGAGAAGTGGGTGGTTCCAGTGCTTTACAGACTATACAGACTCTTCACTGTTCCACAGCTTTAATAGTGGACACTTCTCAGCTCTGCCCTACTGGACTTGATATCTTCATGGCATGAAGTAAAGCAAAGTTCATTTAAACCTCTAACAGCCGTGGTAGTAGTTTTAGCAGTTTGAAAATACCCATTTCAGAAATGTGTCAAGACTCAATTTTTTTAACTAATCAGATGATGAGACAAATTGACTATTTTTTTAGAAAAATGGTATATAAGCTACAAGGCCAAAGAAAAGAAATAAGCAATGAAAGACTGTCCAACAGAAAGAAGTACTCCTGTGACTTACTGTTATCCACTGGTTGTCCAGCAGCTCCTTAGCTGTGATTCTGTGAGCAGGATCTACTTTCATAAGTTGTTTCAAAACACTTTTAGCTGCAAATAAAGGAAACTTCTGAATATCTTATTATCTTAACTACAATTAGTAAAAATTTCCAATTGATTCAGAATTAGGTCTGTAGGACATAAAGGAAAGTTGCCAATTATAAAACGAATATCATCAGTATAAATGGCCAAGAAATAAAGTGTAAGGCCTATAGTGAGGTTTTATTACATAGAGTATCTGGTTTATATTCTATAGTAAAAACTAACTAGATAATCAGCAAATTTTCTCCTGAATTTTCACTCAGTCTATTCTGTTTTGATTGGAAGTTTTGACTGTAACAATCACAGTGAAGATACCACTATTTCCACAAGTAAATAGTGTTATTTCTACAAATAAATTTAAAGACTAAACAGAGAGTTAAAGTATCTGAATTACTAGCAAACTTTCTTATGTTACATATATTTGCTTTGGTAAACAATAACAAATCTATATTACCACAATCACTTATGGAATCCCACACTGGATCACTGAAACGCAGTTCTCCCTTTCTTATTAACTCAAAAAGCTTCTCTTCTGAGCTTGCAAAAAAGGGTGGTTCTCCGCATAACCTACAACAAAGGCAATCATTTTCTTTAGGTTTTTAAAAACCAAAATAAGGCTATTAAAAATTAAGTTTCCACGGGACTTGGGAGTAATGGTGCTTCATATTTAAGTAAAGGACAGGAAGCAGGATAGAACTGAAGACACTGAAACTGTTAAAGATTTTGCTTACCTTGGTTTAGTCACCAATTCAAATGAAGACCACACCTGAATCCTATACAATCTTATTAACCAATGTCACCCCCATAAATACAATAAAAATTTAAAAATAAAAGATTTCCAAGAAATCAAGAGAAGACTGAGACTTGAAAGAGCAGAAGTGTAAGAATGAGGGAAGGTCCTCAAGAGCAAAGATGTGTCATTAGAGACCAAGGCTAAGCTCATCCACACCCTCGTGTTCCCAATGATATGCATGGATGTGAAAGCTGGGCAGTGGAGAAGGCTGAGAGGGAAAAAACGGATTCATCTGAAATACGTTGGACAAAATCTCTATGTACTCTGGACTGCCAGAAAGGTGAGCAAATGGGTCTTAGAGCAAATTAAGCCTAAGACAAAAATGACAAAACTGAAGCTGTTCTACGTGGGACACGGTAAGAGAAGACGGGGTCTTTGGAAAAGACAACAATGCTTGGAAAAACTGAAGGCAGCAGGAAAAGAGGAAAAGCAAATATGAAATGGCATGAGTCTGCAGGAGCTGAGCAGGGTTGGTGAGGACAGGACATTGTGGACTCAGTCATTCAAAGGGCCTCCCAGAGTCGGAGCCAACTCAGTGGCATGCAATATACACACAGGAAGAGGTGGGTACCTCTCTGGATGCAGAAATGGAAGCAAAGGGGTTTTGCGAGGTCAGTGCTGGGCTCTTGTATACACTGAATCCTCCAGATCTGCAAATGACCCAAAGCTCTTCCAGGAGGGGAAACACTAAGCTTAAATGGGGTTATAATACAGGAAGGTGTGTACACAGTAATAGTTGCAGATAATGGAGGAGACACACTTTATTGTGAGCAAGAACAATGCAATGCCTAAAGCACATAATCCACACTAAACTTATGGAAAAATATAATGAATTAGCAGAGTCTAATACGCATCATCAGAGTCTAAGTGACCATGTAAGAGTTTAATCCATGGTAAACTACTGTACACATGTCAGTAAGACTAAACCAGGAATAACCCTGGGAATGTCTACAGGCTCTGAGTCAAAGCTAAAAAATAAATCCATTAAAATGATTACACTCTCCCAAAATAGTATACAAAATGAAGAAGGTCTGGATGAGAAAAATCAGATGATGATGATTTCACCCTTCAGTCTGAAAGGTGAAAGCTGAGTATTTATATAATGACCAACACCAGTACCACCGTGAGCAGGATGTATGAACAGGAGCTTGTTTGCACATTCTAGAACAGCGGTTCTCAACCTGTGGGTCTCGACCCCTTTGGGGGTCGAACGACCCTTTCACAGGGGTCGCCTAAGACCATCGGAAAACACATATATAATTACATATTGTTTTTGTGATGAATCACTATGCTTTAATTATGTTCAATTTGTAACAATGAAAATACATCCTGCATATCAGATATTTATATTACGATTCATAACAGTAGCAAAATTACAGTTATGAAGTAGCAACGAAAATAATTTTATGGTTGGGGGTCACCACAACACGAGGAACTGTATTAAAGGGTCGCGGCAGTAGGAAGGTTGAGAACCACTGTTCTAGAACATAGAACTGTGAGTCATTACAATCTTTTAAAAGGAAAAATTGTGCTATACTTCACAAAGCGCATGGCACGCCTGTGCTTCAGTAGACAATCCAGTCCCAAACTACAAAAACATGCTTAAAAGTTGAGTTTGCTTCTTCATCGTCCACTCTCAACAAATGTTAGCCACGCTCATTACTGTCCACCCCGACGTTGGAGAGCAGCCCTGTGTACAATGACCAGGTTTTCCCAGCGACAACCGGACAGAAGGTGGACCCGGACTCATCACAGAGGCCACTCTGTGTGTCTATTCTTCACCTCTCGAGATTGCATAGTTTGCATTTACTGCTGAAAGAATAAAAGGGCGCAATTCTATATACTTCCCAAATGCTGGCCTATTATGGTGAATCCTAACCTGAGGATATTTTTTCCATTGATTTTTAGAAAAGGGAAGGAGAGAGAGCAAGAGACAGAGAGACAGAAAGACAGAGAGAGACAGAGACATACATTGACATGAGAGAGACACACTGATTGGTTGTCTCTGCATGAGCCCTAACCAGGGCTGGGGATTAAACTTGCAACCCAGGTATGTGCCCTTGCCATGGAAACTATGACCCTTTAGTGAGCAGGCCGATGCTCTAACCACTTAGCTACACCAGCCAGGCGCTGGTCTATTATGTATTTAAGTATAATGATCTCTAAGCCTCTCAAAAGTTACATTTCTATGGATTTTTTTCTTTAAGTTCTTTAAAAGTCTTTCCCATGAACATTTTCTGAATAAGTATAATTTGATAAATGTTTTGCATGAAAATGATAAGGAGAAAAACTTGTTTTCATCTTAGTTTATCAAGCTAGGATGGACAATATTGGCTTTTCATTTCCCAACAGGTTCTTATTAAGAAATAGATAGGTATTTACCAAATTGCTCCACAAACTCTTATTTTAATACTTTTTTTACTGCTTTAGCTCATCCTGACCCTCCTCTCTCTCTGATTTTACTTACCTATTATTTATTTTTAAAATGCAATTTTTAAAGAGCCAGAAAAATGGTCTTATGGACAATTACTATCTGTTGTAACAAGCATAGGCCAGCAGAGCCCAGCTCATTGAGTCTGCTAATAACCAGGGACATGCACATTTACCAATTCCTTAGCTGCTCCCGCACTGCCTGGCTGGCATGCAACTATAGCTTAAGGGCTACGTTTCTAAAATTCCACTTTTTTCCGTCCTTTCCAATTTTACTTACACAAGAATGTATCTAATGGTTGGTCAATCAGCAGCATGTGAAATTTTATGATAGCAATTTTCTGCACATCCAGAAAAGGAAATCCAAGCCATGAAAAATGTCTCTTAAAGCTTCCCTATTATTTTCTGTGGCATTCACAGGAATCAAAGCAGCAGCAGATACACACATAAAGAATATTTATGTTAATTTCACCTTGAAGAAGTATGTTATCATTGTCCAATTAAGTAGAAATAAATCAGCAGTAACTGACAAACAAGAAAATAACCCCCTGGAGAAGGTAATATGTCTGTGCCTGGGTGAGGAAATTATCTATGAGACCACTGGGCTCAGGCAGGTTAATGAATAGGCACTGATTAGCTAAGTAAGAGTCTACTGTAAAGAAAACAGGTGTCCTTTGTGGTGAGATGCAGCCATGGTCTGACACAGAAAAATTAAAATTATATCTTTAAGAAAGAGAAAAATTTTAACATATTAATACACTATCACTTTCCTTCACACCAAATTAGAATTGAGAAGGCAGCAAACACATGAATTGTGTAATATTAGATTACACCTATAATTTGACTTGTGTTGTCTAGAAAGTCTTGAGAGTGTAAAACACTAAGTTAAAATGGTTATATATTTTTTTAATATATTTTTTTTTATTTGAGAGAGAGAGAGAAAGAGAGAGAGAGAGAGAGAGGATAGGGAGAGAAACATCGATGTGAGAGAGAAACATCAATCAGATGCGTTCCATACATGCCCAACCAGGGATCAAACCCGCAACCCAGGTGTGTGCCCTGACCAGGAACTGAACTGGCAACCTACCAACTGAGCCACTCCAGCGGGGCAAAATGGTTACATTTTTAATTAAAGACTTAAGGCTCTGAATTTTTACATGATTCTAACCAGCACAAAACAATGATCAACATTTTGTGAATACATTTATACTCTATGCAACCTAAGCAGTTAATGTATGTTGACCATCTGAGTTACAGCTATAATCACATCATCCTATTTCCACTGCCTGTGCATTCCATTTCACAAAACTGAAAATGTGACTATTGTGATGTCAATATTTAGAAAAGATCTGGAAGAGGCAGTACACAGTGACATCTTCAATATGACCATAAAACTAATGTTGCATCAACATAAAAATGTTCATGTTCGCCAAGAGGCAGACCAATGGTCAGTAACTTTTCAGGGCACCTCTTAGAAAATTCACTTTAATTCGATTTAACAAACTTATATTGAGCACTGACTGCATGCCTACTATTGTGCCAGATACCAGGGATGCAAAGATAAACACGATGTCTGTCCTTCAGGGAATTCAGAGCAAGGAAAATAGACACAATACACATAATACAATAATTATATCACATTATAATCTCGTTTTTAAAAGTGCTAGGAGGACACAGAGAAGTGAGCAATTAACTCATTCAAATTTACACATGTGCAAACCTTCCTGGTTAAATATTCTTATTTTATTATTTTGTTTTTCTTTCAATGCATTTTTATATGTTGCCTTACATCGTCTGGGAAAGTATACATAATAAACATAGTAACTCTACCCAGGTAGAGTAGGAATTAGGGAGATACAAGGCGTTAATCTTTGCCCTGGCACAGCTAGGAGAGAGGTTAGCAGAAAAGAAAGAGAACATTCTAGGCAGAAGGAACTGCATGAGCAAAGACCCAGAGGCATGCGATATGGGGACTCTGGCCGAACCTCTGGTTAGTGCCCACCCGTCACACTGGCGGGCTTGAGTGCCGGGTCCCAGGACCTCCGCTACATGATGGGCTCTTATGAGTGAATCTCTTGACAATATACAAAGAAGCGGGGTTTGTAGCAAAGGATCAGAAAGTTTTAAGGCAAGCTTTTCACCTGGCCCAGATCATACAGTGCATTGTAGCATTTGCAGGTCAGTAGGAAGCAAAGTTGAAAGTTATAAATGTATAGTATTAAAAAATACCTAACGCATGTGCCGGACAACGAATGAGAGAGCTTTAAGAGGGACTGCCCAATGGTTTCTTCAGTCACTTTTTAAAAACGTATTGTTTAGTTTTAATTTAAAGTCTACATGATTCTCCTGCTAGAAACCATTCATTTTAAACAGCATGTTTATCGGGCTACTTACAAACTGTACATGATGACACCTATGCTCCAAATGTCACACTGCTGGCTGTAGTCGTGGTCATTGATCACCTCAGGGGCTGCCAAACAAGCAGGAATAAAATAGTATCAATAATACAATCAATGACTTTTAAATGCTTAAACACAAAGCATGAAAAATGTGCTGATGTGCTGTAATTTATTCCCCCACAGGGAGAAAGAGAACCAACAGCAGATGTTAAATGAATAATGCACGGGCCTTAACAATGGATGTAGCTGTGTCCCCACTCCTGTCATTAGCTTCTGGCGGAACGATGGCACAAACGGTATGACTATGTGTACAACTACTCTTCAATCCGTTGGAACTGTTAAGAAATGACTTTGCGATGATCGTGTAGTTATGGCAGAAGACGACAATATCTCAGTCCTTTTCCAAAAATAGAATTAAATGCATGCCTTAAGTGGATATAATTTAAAGCAAGCCCAATATGTGGAAATCTGCACTCACAGAAAAACTACAAGAAATGCTTGTAATTCACGTTAGTAAAATAATAATAAAATCACAGCACTCCTGTGACAGAATATGGATTGTTTCCCGTGTTTTCTAGATGAGAAAACTGAGACAGAGAGTTCCTACCACGTAACTGGGTCGAAAAGCCAGTTAGACTCAGGACTCCTGACTCTGCTTCTCACTGTACAACATGCACACAATAGGGATCCTCTAAACAATCTTTCAAAATAGAACTTTTTTTTTTACTTTAAAGTAGCACATTTTTTAACAATTAGATTTTTTTTATAATGGCTGGTTTTCAAGAAAGTCACATATGATATTTCACCTCTGCAGTAAGGAATCAAATATCTTTCTTTAAGAAAAAGGAAGAATAGAACAGTTATAAATATAAAAATAATAGATATATTTCAATAAAACTTTAACATTTGTAATGTACTTTTGTATAAATCATGTTATTTGTATAAATTATGTTAAGTATCTTGTGAGATGGGTATGTAGGTATTTGACTCACTTTGTCAGCGATGAAACTAAGTTTCAGATATATTAAGTGACTTGCCTAAAGTTACAAAGGTGTTTTTTATTTTAGAAAACAGTTTCAATCTCCCTCACCTATACACAAACCCCTTTTATAACTACTAAAAGCAAATGGAATTTCATTTCCTCTTCTTATTGTTAAAGGAGCTAAAAAACAACAAAAAAGTTAAAAAGTAAACTGAAGAAGGAATGAGAAAGGCTCTACCACAGATAAATAACAATCTGAATATTTCATCTTCAAATCATTGAAAGTTAACTAATTAATATTTTTCTTTAAGCAATTACTTGTGTTCTTTAACTCTGCTTAAACTCTTTAAATATGGACTCATTACAGCTGCTCCTTGGCCACATGTCTATGACAAGGGCAAAAGCTGGGATTAGATTCCATGAAGAATCTCCATACAGGTGCCTCACACACACACACACAGCAGGGGCCCGATGCTGGCCCTCATCTTTCAGCGTCCTCTTAAGTATCAGGGGATTTCCCCTGCACTGCCATCACAGCTCTCACAGGGGGGCAGAGGCCAGAATAACTGTGTCAAGGAGCCATTTAGAAAGTCAGCAAAGCTCTACAAACCATCTGTCTTCTCTCTTGTTCTCTCACTTCTTATCAGTGTCGACGACTAATAAGCAGGCATAAAACTCAGGGTGCCTGGTATATTTTCCCCATATAACTACAGACCAGATGTCTTTTGCCAACAGGAGGATATGAACAGAATCTAAAGTAGCCTTTTCCCAAATAAGATAAAACAAGTTTGAAACTTTATGCATCAACTAGGCAAAAAACAATGAACTCTATACTCCTCAGTTAAAAAAAAAAGAATAAACTACTAATATGTCTAAAAATCATTACATGGAACAAAAGAAGACAGACAAAAGAATATATACCATATATACTGTATAATTCAATTTCTATGAAGTTCTAGACCAGCGAAACTAAGCTAAGGTGATAGAAACCATCAGCGGTGGCCGGGGTCTGGATGGGGGATTGACGGAGAGGGACACAGAGGAACTGTTTGAGCGACAGAAATGTTCTATAAATTCTTTGGGGTGGTGATTATACGAGTGTATGCATTTCTCAAAACTCACTGAACTTTACACTTAATATTTGCACATTTTATTGTACATAAATTATATCTCAGTAAAGTAGATTTTTTTACAAATCTAAAAGTACAAAAAGAATTTCTCAAAGCCCCATCTTGGTGGGTGACTTTAATAACATTCTCTCTTAGAAATCAAGAGAAGCAACAAGCAAAATTAAATTAAAAATATGAAAAGTTAAATAACAAAGGTATCACATTTGATTTTATTAGCACAAACATGAAGAAATTCTTATGCTCAACAAACCAGGAATGTACATATTTCTAAATACCCAATGCAACATTTACAGAAACAATCACGTGTTCAATCATAACGAAAATTCCTAAAAGTTGGTAAAGCTTTAAGTCACAATTGCTACTACAATGAGGAAAACCAGACAGAGAAACCAAAAGGCTAGGAAAACTAACACACATCCACATAAGCAGCAAACACATCGTAACCACCTAGGAAATTCTAAAAGCACTTCTAAATAATTCTCAAACCAAAGAAGAAGACTAAAACTACAAGAGTCTGTACAATTTGGACACTGTATATAAGAAAAGAAATTATCGTCCTGACCGGTTTGGCTCAGTGGATAGAGCGTCGGCCTGAGGACTGAGGGGTCCCGGGTTCAATTCTGGTCAAGGGCATGTAGCTTGGTTGCGGGCACATCCCCAGTGGGAGGTGTGCAGGAGGCAGCTGATCGATGTTTCTCTCTCATTGATGTTTCAAACTCTCTATCCCTCTCCCTTCCTCTCTGTAAAAAATCAATAAAATATATTTTTTTTAAAAAGAAAAGAAATTATCAAAGAAATACTCAGAGAAAAAATACATAACCTTAATGCATTTATTAGAAAATGAACAGACAGAAAATAAATAAGCATTTAGCTTAGGAAGCTAAAAATAAACCAAAAGAAAGTAGAAAAAGGAATCCAGAATGATAAAAAGCAGAAATTAATGAAAAAGCAAACCAAAATTTAGACTTGAACTGGTCCTTTGAAATCCCAATAAATTGGCCCAACCACTAACAAATTTGATCAATTAAAAAAATGACCAAAAAAAGAGCTGAAACTGAGCACCACGTGCCATGTACTGTGCTAATCACTTTACATACATTTTCTCATTTAATTCTCATGTCAACCTGATATTATTATTACCATCCTAAATATGTCCTCTCCCCTTCCCTGTCTTATTTTTCACCCTTAGCACTGCTCTTTAATATAGCAGATAGTTTACTTTTTTATCTTGTTTAATGATTTTGCCAACATGACATTTTTATGTTTGTTTACCACTGTATTCCCAATATCTAGACCAGTGTCTAATACAAAAAAGATCCTCAAAAAATTTTTGATGAATGAGTGACATAATCCCTATTACATGATATAGAAATTGTGACAAAATTGTGTTTGCCTAGGGTTAATTAGATAGTAAATGAAAGAACTGAAATTCTGAGTTAGCCAGGTGACATCAGAGACCATATTACCAATATTGCATCATGCTGCCTTCTTAAAAAATATTAGGAATCCATAGGGGGATATAACCACAAATACATAGGAAAATCTGAAAATTTTAAGTGAATACACTTGCATATTTATGCCAATAAAATGGAAAATCTCAATGTAATAAACAATTTTCTTAAAAGCATAAATTATAAAAATGATTTAAAAAGATGTGAAAAACTTGAATAACCTAGAATAAATTGATAAGATAATAGAAACTTCATCCCCCAAAGAGTACCAGGATGAAATATTTTAAGATGAAATTTCATCAAACAAATGAATAGATCATTTCTACTACTTAAATGGTTCATGAACATATAAAAAGTGAAAATGTTTTATTTTTGTTTAAACGAGGCCAGCATAACCCTAACATCAAAAAAGACAAGGCCACACAAAAGAAAGAAAGCTCCACTCATAGCTCTTAAAATAAAGTGGTGACAATTTGAATATAGCAGTATATTCAACCACGTGGGGTTAAATTCAAAAGTGCAAGGATGGTTCAACATTTTAAAAAGTCATTAATGTAATTATTTCATTAATAAATTTAAAGAGAAAAATATGTGATCATCTCAATAGGTACAGATTTTAATAGACATGTCATCAGAGAAGATATGTTCATAAATAACTAATAAGTACATGAAAAGGTGCTCAACATCATTGGTCATTAGGGTAATGTTAATTAAAACCACAATGGGATACCAGATTGGCTATAATTTAAAAAGACGGGTAATATCAAGTGTCAGCAAGAATGTGAAGAAGCTGAAACCCTCATACATTGCTAATAGAAAGCTAAAATGTTACAGCCACTTTGGAAAATCATTGGCAGTTTCTTAAAAATTTAAACATAAATAATATATGACCCAGCAATTTCGCTCCTAGGTATCTACACCAAGAAAATAAAACCATATGGCCATAGAAAAACTTGTACATGAATGTTCATAATAGCATTATTCATAATAGCCCCAAACAACCCCCATGCCCATAAGCTAACAAATGGATAGACAAATTGTGGCATATCCATACAACGGATAACTGTCAGCAATATAAAGAACAGACTACAGACACATTCTACAACAAGGATGGACCTCAAAAACATGATGCCAAGGGAAAGAAGCCAGATATAAAAGACTACATATTGTACAGTTCCATTTACAGGGAATGCTCAGAAAAGGCAAATCTACAGAGACAAAAAGAGGAGTGATTACCTGGGGTGGGAGTGGGTATGAGATTGAGTGCAAATAGGCATGAGTCAACTTTTGGGGGTAGAATTATTCTAAAACTGGATTGTGGTGATGGTTCACAACTCCTGAATGTATGCAAAATCACTGAATGGTACATTTTTTATGGTATTTGAGTTATACTTTAGTAAAGCCGTTAAAATTCGCATTTGAAAAAATGGAAATTGCTGTTTTACAAATATATTCAATCAGTATTCTTTGTGAAAACCTATTTGATGGCAATGAAATTGTATTAAAAAAAATGGAAAGAAGCAAAACACACACATGATTTTAGCATGAATTGACAAAAACAATAATTAAGTGTGGGGTATGATTACTTAAGAGAAATAAACAACTGTAAGAAGAACCCAGAGAAACAAACTCTACCATCTTTGAAGGTAAAAATTATGAGACAAACACTAACACAACTGAAATTATTTGACCTTAATAAAAAATGTAGCTTGAGCAGGGCCATTAAGTCATGACAGCAAAATCAAATTGCTCAAGTTTTAATCCACGTTACTTGTTCTACATTTTAATAGTCTAATGACTTACCCATATAGGTAGGAGTCCCACACGTGCTCTGCAGCATGGCCTCACTCCCGCCGTGCTTCTTTGCCGCTAAGCCAAAATCAGTCACCTACAAGAAGAAACTCAGAGTCACCTGTGTTCCTGTCCCAGCGCCACCCATTCTGAAGGTAGGATTCTGTAATTGCATTTAATTCAGGGATCCGGATGGAGGGGCTCTACTTGTATTACTAATAAGGACCTCGCTTTCCCTCCCCACGCACCCTCTCTGGGAAGAAGGAACTTGGTACAGAGAAGCCTGGTTTCTCAAATCTTGAGAAAAAACCCAGATTGGTGATTGTTCATTCCTTGTCGTTAAATTCACCAGTTTAATGTAGGAAGTGAAATCTTGAGAAAAGGCATTTAACTTTTTTTTCAAATAAAAGTTATTTTTAAGAAGTTCTTTCACGCCCTAGCCGGTTTGGCTCAGTGAATAGAGCACTGGCCTGCAGACTGAAGGGTCCTGGGTTCGATTCTGGTCAGGGGCACATGCCTGAGTTGCAGGCTCAATCCCCACTGGGGGGCATACAGGAAGCAACAGATCAATGATTCTCTCTCACCATTGACATTTCTCTCTCTCCCTCTCCCTTCCTCTCTGAAATCAATAAAAATGTATTTTAAAAAAAGTTCTTTCACTGTAAATTACATTCTGGCCTTGTGTTTATTATCTATTTTTCTGACACTCAGGCTATTGTTTCAGTTTGAAGCACTGTTATAAATGCAAATCACTATCTTTTTCAGCACTCACAGAAACTCCCCCCTTTTGTAATTATTTAAAAAAGCAATATCTCTGGTAAATACTATATTTTCTTTGTTATTTCCTTTGTGTTTCTAGAGTGTACTAATTGAAACAATGACTACACTGTTAAAAACGACAAGAAACAAATTAACAGGAAAAAACACAGAATCAATACAAATGCACTGGAGGCCTCCTGCTGCAACTGCAGTCTTTCTGCTCAGTTCTAAGCTTGGCCATTAAACATGTGGTTTCTAAGTATGCAGAATGTGGCCTTGGTCTTGTCTCCTAAGTTGGAACAGCCTTGGGCTGGACGCAGAAAAACAGACACATTTATTGATCATACAGCCAAAGATAGGCTGTCAGCCCACAGACACGGAATGCCGTCTCCGGTGTCTTAGGGAGTAAGAAAAAAGTTCCTGTCCACACGTGATACCATTTTTCTTCTAAATAGATTAACCGGTTTCCCCAGAACTTTCACAATGATCCCACTTGGATACTATGACACATATCTTTCTCCACAGAAAATCTATACAGATATCAAATAAACAAAAGCTTTGACGATCCAATTCAGTTCTTTGGAGAACATTTATTCCCTCATTTGCCACATCTTAATTGAGCACATACTATGTTTCAGGCACTACTCCAAGTACCAACAGTGAATAAGGCATACATAATTCCTGCCTTCCCGAAGTTTACAATGGAAATACTCAAGAACATTTACTCAGGGAAAACAACAATGTTGTTAAACCTACTTATATTACAGGGATTTAGCATCTGCAACAGAGTGCATTATCCACATTTTTATTCCTAAATTAACACATTCATATATTTTGAAAGCAGCCACTATTAAAGTGCTAAGTAATAAATAATGTATCCTATCATTTATTTGACATTAAGGAACACTTAATCTGAATAAAATCTTCAAGAATAAACACGTGGCACACTAATTGTGCTTAGGATATAAATATTAATACCCAGGAAGATTTTCAGTGAGAAATACAGACTTTAGCATTAATTTGATATCAGAGGCACAGCCAAGGTGTGTTTTTTTCTAAATCTGTAACACATTTACATCACATTACCAGGCATAATTTTGAAATAAATTAGAATGCAGAGCATCTGTTTGCTTGCTATTAACTAATGATTTAGAACTATCCAAATGAACATGTACTTAAAAAAATTCAACAGTACCACTTAACTTGCAAAATTATGCCTGTCAGTTACAACCTCTTTTGTGAATTTTTTATTTTCTTAGCACCAGCCATTTATTTTCTGGCTGCTCAAAGCTTCTAAAATGTGTCTAAAAAGAGGATGTACTTTGCCACTTTGCTATCAAATTGTTTACAGGCAAATATTTACCACCATTTCTAGTATCTTACCTTTATGTTTAAGTTCATTTCATTGTTAGCATCAGTAAAGCTGCTTTTAACCATTATGTTTTCCAGTTTTAGATCTCTATGTACTATATCTACCAAGAAAATAAACAACAAATGAAATGAAATGAATAATGGAAAAATAATTAGAGGGGACACAAATACAACAAATAAATATATTTGACAAATTAACGTCCACCACTGAAATATTTGAGACGGGCCAAGCATAATTCTGCTCTGTCCCACTCCCTTATATTCAGATCCCTCTTCTCCACGTTTTAACCTTCAGGAGCCATTCTCTTTGACTCCCTCCTCTCTCCCTATCCCCTTGTTGCTCAATTTTTCTGTGAACCTAAAATGGCTCTAAGAAACAAAAACAGCCCTAACCAGTTTGGCTCAGTGGATAGAGCATCAGCCTGCAGACTGAAGGGTCCCAGGTTCGATTCCAGTCAAGGGCATGTACCTTGGTTGCAGGCACATCCCCAGTAGGGGGTGTGCAGGAGGCAGCTGATCGATGTTCCTCTCTTATCGATGTTTCTAACTCTCTATCTCTCTCCCTTCCTCTCTATAAAAAATCAATAAAATATATTTAAAAAAAAAAAAAGAGAAAAACAATGCCGAAACCGGTTTGGCTCAGTGGATAGAGCGTCGGCCTGCGGACTGAAAGGTCCCAGGTTCGATGATTTGTCTACTTTTGATTTGAGAATAATAGCTGCTTTTCAAACTGTTGAATGGAAACATGCATTAACTTCATCCTTGTCCATGTATAATGTAATTGTATACCTGCCTTGTTTCTAATTAAAATATATCTATAAATGAAGTTAAAAAGATCTTTATATACATAAAAGGCTAAGCAACCTTCCAACCATCCGGTAGCTATGACGTGCACTGACCACCAGGGGGGGATGCTCAATGCAGGAGCTGCTGAGCTGCGGTGACTTGGCAGCAGTGGTTCTCGGGTGACGCACCCCAGAACCAGAGAGGAGGGAGCCCGATTCCTTGCGGGGCTGCGCGATTCCACCTTTGGCCGTGGGTTATGTTGTTGCTGAAGAATTAATTTCTTCTAATTAATTTCCTTTCAATGTGCACAAATCCTTGCACCTCGCCACTAGTTTTTAAATAAAATCTCCCATACTAGTAGGCATATTTCTGTGACTACAAGTCGTGAAATAATTACCCTGAAATAAATGTGAGCCTGCATTCATGGAGTCAGTGGCTGGTGACCCTCCCCTTACCGTTACTGTGCAGATAGGCTATCGCTGATGCGAGACTCTGAATGATCCACCTGGTCTCATTCTCTGAGAAATGCTTTTTCCTCTTCAGAATTTCTCTGAGTTCTCCATCCTCACAAAGCTCCATCACAAGATACATTTTCTGACATTATATATTTAAAAAGTGAGAGAGAGCAAATTATATAGGTGGGGATCTTAAACATGTTATAGATTACATTTATAATAAGAATATGATCACACTCTTCTTTTAAAAATTTTTTTTATTGATTTCAGAGAGAAAGGAAGAGAGAGAGAGAAACATCAATGATGAGAGAGAATCATTAATTGGCTGCCTCCTGCACACGCTCCACTGGGGATCAAGCCTACCACCAGGGCATGTGCCCTGACTGGGAATCGAATCATGACCTCCTGGTTCATGGGTCAGCACTCAACCACTGAGCCACACTGGCGGGCTACGATCACACTCTTAATCATCATTATATTTGAAAAATATTCATTATCTCATGTACAAGAAGGACATGGAAGCATAAGACATAGTCTTTATCCTCAAGGCGCCCACAGTGTAGTTATAACTAAAAGTCAGGTGATAAGTGTTGGTAGAAGAGGCAGGCCCCAAATGCCAGGAAATTACAGAGGAGGGAGGCCTCTGCCGAAAGAATACTTACTGAGGAGGTGACATTAAAGGCAGGTCTGGTTGCCTAGATAGCAATATAGGGGTAGAGACCATGGACAAGAACAGGCAGAACATGTGCTATTTGCAAAGATCGCAAAACTTGAAATAACACTAACTGTTAAAAGAACACCAAATACCTCAGTGTTAATAGCACTGGGAGTCTGGTAGAGCAGAGGAGAGTGGAGTGGTGGTGCGGGGAGGCTGGGTTATAGGGTCTCGTATATCACAGCAAGAGGAATTTGGAACTTTTCCCATATGCGGGAAGGAGCCACTGAGGATCCTGACGCTGGTGTCTGGGGTGGGGGAAAGGTGTATGCTATGATCAATTCTGCATTTCTAAATGAGCCTTCTAGCAGGAATGTGGAGCAGGGCTCAGCAAGCTTTTGCTGTAAAGGCCAAAACCAGACAAGAAATACTTGCAGCTTTGTGGGCCATACAATCTCTTTTGTAGCTACACAACTCTGCAGTTATAGCATAAACAATACAATGAAACTTTATTTATGGACTTTGAAAATTCAGTTTCATATAATATTCAGGTCATGAAATATTATGCTTTAAATTTCTTTCAACCTTTTAAAAATATAAAGAACCTTAGCTTATGTGCCATAAAAAGTAGGCACGCACCAGGTGTGGCTTGCACACCGTGGCATGCTGACCTGTTTAAAGAGGCAGATGCGAGGCTCCGAAGAGTGACAAGAAGAGGAAGAAGGAAAGGATGTGAAAGATACCCAGGAGAAAGAAGCAGTGGGACTCGGTGACTAATGGGCTGCGAGTGGTAAAAGCCATAGATGAAATGCCTCTTCCATATTTGCTGTTTCTGTTGATGCGCATTAAGATCACTTTAGGTATTTCAACAGTCAGTCAAGTCATCTAATGAGTAAAAAAGATCCAGTCAACTAAAATGCAAGTCTTTTTCACACCTATTGCTATTCAGTCACAGAATACCCTTTCTGTCTCCATTCTATTCTATGCTGCTAAATTTTTGTTGCTGTTTTTAAGATTTTGGGGCCTGATTCTATTCTATAACCACCAGGAATGAAACTTCTGTGTTCAATCAGCAAGCATGAAAACAGGAAGAGAAGGTTAACACCTTTTCCTTTTATAGTCAAAATTCTGATTCACTAAACCCGAGGATGCTTTAGAATTTCAGAAGTAACTATTCTGCAAAGTCTAACACACATAAGCTTTTGAACAAGGCCATGTTTTTTCTGACAGCACTGCAAAGGTCTTTGGTACATGAGATGGTGAGTCAGTGAACTATTTAGAAGGAACAGTTACATTAACTTACAATATAAATTGACATCAATTTTAAATATGTACACTGATAAAAGTTATAGGAATACAAGTTTTTTAAAAGTCTTTTTATAATTATTAGAAATAATCGTGTCAATCTGGAGAGCATTTGGACTCACAAGAAACCATAGCAACTAAGTGAAGTCGATACTATTATTAAATCCATTTTACAGATGAGGAAGCTGAGGTATAGAGAGGTTGAGTAATTTGTCACAGTCTCATAGCCAATAACAGAGCCAGGATTCAGAAGCACAGGCAATCTGACCCCAGAGTCCATGTGCCTAATCACTACATTATTTTGCCTCCAAACTGAGAATCACCCAAACCCACAGGCACTAAACAATCTGGAGGCAGAATAGCAGATCCCAGGCTTCAGAACAACTCTGAATGAAAATCACAGGCATTCAAAGAGAATGATAGCATCTGGGGAAGAAGGAAGATTACACATGTTGGTAAGACACAGATGGCAAAATATATTCTACCTAGTGCCAAAAATGCCCAAGCTAACTTTATTACAAAGTTATGACAATATTCCAAGAGACTATAATGGAGAAATCAAGAATCAAAGCAAAAAAAGCCATCTCTGAGGAAGATCTAATCATTGTTTGATTGTATAGGGTATTGTTTCAATTTTATTTTACTTATTAGTTTTGTTGTTGTTGTTTCAATTTTAAACATTCGTTTTCAATATGCCACCTAAAAATATCACTAAAGCCATCAATCTAACCATCAGGCACCTAATTATACAATCAATAATGAAAGCCCTCCAGGATGCTCTCCTCCATCTTTAGCGACACACTCGTGCCAAGGACTCAAGCAACGGTGCCTCAAAGGGATTTCTTCAGCAGGGAATGGGGTTCATTTTGTAATAATAACTCCTTTTAAAATGCAGACGTGCTGAAGCATTACCTTGGGCGTCTCAAACACCTGTTCCAGATGTATGATGTGCTCATGCTTCACACTTTTTAGGATGTTCACCTCCTGTTCAAGTAACTTCACGGCAGAGCTTCCAGCCTTAAGCAATGAGACACAGAGATTTCACATAGGAATGTCACTACTACATACCTCACTATAAAAGTTAGTTATTTTTTTTAAATATATATTATTGATTTTTTACAGAGAGGAAGGGAGAGGGATAGAGAGTTAGAAACATCGATGAGAGAGAAACATTGATCAGCTGCCTCCTGCACACCTCCTACTGGGCATGTGCCCGCAACCAAGGCACATGCCCTTGACCGGAATCGAACCTGGGACCTTTCAGTCTGCAGGCCGATGCAGTCTGCAGGCCGATGCTCTATCCACTGAGCCAAACCGGTTAGGGCAAAAGTTAGTTATTATTAAATTTTTCCTACATCTTCTTGAGAAGTTTCTTTTAAAAAAAAATAACATGCAACTTATTTCCATAATAAAGGTAAAGTATGTCCCTCTGTCCAATTTTATATATAATTTTATATATAATTTTACTTTTAACTACATCTGTTTCTTGGATTTTTCTATAAATTAGCTAAAATATGGTCTCTGTCCCCTCGCAAAAATTACTCTAATTTTTAATATGCTTTTTAGTATTTCCTTCCGAATCATGTTAATCCCTTGGTATTAAAAACACAATCTACTTTCCAAGGACATCAATTGGAGAAGATAAAAACAAAGTGTTTTTCTGCTTTGTTGCTGTTCTGCTTTGACTATATTTATATAAATCAAAAGAAACAATGAGAAGTGAGATTCTACACTCAGCCCTGCATTCTATCACTTCCTGGTCCCCAGACCTCAAAAATTAACTGAGGAAGAGAAATCGAGATCTTGCCTTCTGACCAATCTAATTCCAACTTTATCTCCTTACATGTAACCCTTAACCAAGCCTGCCAGCAAACGGTAAAGCCAGCAACAGGGCCTCCAATCAGGGTGTAAGCCACTATTTTCTACAAGGTCATCTAAGAAATTTTAGAAGGACTTCTCAGGCCCCCACACCATTACCACCACATCTATCATCACCTCTATTGAATCTAAATTACCATCATTTGCAAATAAGCATTGTCCTCATGCACATAAAACATCTCTGAAAGGAATAACAAAGGTTTTATCCCTCCTTCCTCACACCTCCACTGCCCCTCCAAGTTTAGGAGAGTACACATCGTTGTTAAAGGATTGAAAGGGATTGATCATAAGGCAATCTTTACCTAAGTAAGATTTTACATACGTAGTAGGGTCATTCCTGCTTCCACTGACTTTTACTCTTTAGCATTACCATCGCAGGAGCAAAAAGAAAACTGGCCACCCACTCTGTCCTACCCATGGAGGATGAAAGTCACATTTTAAGGTTATCCTAAGAGATTAAGAGAAATAGTGACTGTGAGGAGTAAATTTCTGTCTAGACTAGATATGGAAGCTCACCACAATTTCTCCTAAAATCCACCTCAATTCTATTCCTACCTCCCTCACCAAACAGCTTGACCTGTATATAACACAGTAATATATTTTCCAATTCATATGTTGATTATGTAATTTTATTTTACTATCTTAGAGTCCTCTAAACTCACAGCATCAATATGTGTGTATAAGATTATGAATTCCTAAAATTGCAAGCAGATATCCTGACTGTATAATCCTAACCCCAAACCCTAACCCTACCTGACGCCAAAGGGGCAAAGGAAATAATATCCCATGTAACATCATGGTTCTAAAATTCTGAAGAGTTGTAGTAAAGTTCTGGATCTCCCTTTATTAAGATCCACATGTTACTTTATTAATCCTTTTTACCATATGATTTCACTCATATGTGGAATTTAATGAACAAACTGAACTACCAAGCAAAATAGAGACAGAGTCATAGGTAGAGAGCAGGGTAAGTGGAGGGATTGAGCAAAACAGAAAAGAGAGAGAGAGAGAGAGAACTCATGGACATGGACAACAGTGTGGAGATTTACTGAGTGTTGTGTATAAACCATGACATTTAATCTGTGTTGTGTATAAACCATGACATTTAATCTGGGAACTTCCTTCTTTTGAGCTTGTATTGGCTTGTCCTTTGCTTTGGAAAATGAAGATTCTCACTTGTGTTTATTAGAGATACTGGTTTTTACAACGGGAGGTTCTAAGTCAGTCAGGCCTTAGTCCTGTAATTTTTCATTTTACTCCAAAGTCATGTGTGACATGCTCTTCTTTATGATTTTGTTGTATTTTCAGAAAAAAATAGAACCAATTAATAGATATTCAAGTGTCTTAAAATTCTAAAATATAACTCACCACAATGATAACTAAAAATGTTCAATGTAGTTTACACTCACAAATAGTAGCTACTATGAGTTTGTCATTGTGCCTGTTTGTCCCATAGTGTTTAAAAAAAACACAAAGAGCTTCATTCACAAACAGATGTATAAGTTTATGCAATTGAAAATATTTCTTATTTTCAGAGTCGTTAAAATTTTCTGCTGTATTAACTGACCATGTACTTTATTAACCTTTAAGGAGAAATGCTATGTAATTTGCTATCATTTGTTTTAAGGAATACATAAAAACCTATTATCTCATTTCATAATTGTAATATTTATCATCAGAAATCTAAGGAAAAGCTCTGGTAGGTGTGGTTCAGTTGGTCTTCCCTTGCACTGAAGGGTTGCCTATTGGATTCCAGATCAGGGCACATGTCCAGGTTGCAGGTTCAAACCCAGTGTGGGGTGTGCAGGAGGCAGCCAATCAATGATTCTCTCTCACCATTGATGTTTCTCTTTCTCTCTCCCTCTCCAGTCCTCTCTCTCTAAAAATTAATTTTAAAATAATAAAATAAAATAAAAGACAAGTGAGAATAATTGCAACACACATAACAGTTGTTTTAAAGAAAAAAAGAAATCTAAGGAAAAATATATATAATTTTTCCCCAAGCATAGAAATTTTTTAGAAGTTGATAAAATGAACAGGTATAAAACCTGAGGACTTAGATTCTCCCTTAAAGAGAAGCCTAGTCATTCTCCAGCACAGGAGAAATCCAGTGAGGAATACAGTGGATGTAAGTAAATAGTATAGTAGATAGGTGGGGGGAAAGCGATTCAAATGAAAAGAGCAGGTAGGATGATGAGTAAACTAACAATGAGGAAATGGGAAATCAAAGGAAAGGGGAGAACAGGAGAAAAGTAGTGCAGAACCACATCAGGAGAGAGTCCCAGGACTCAGGTCTGGCTAAGGCATCTCCAGGCAGCAGCCCTACGTTAATACATACTGACCATCAGACCTTACCTCCAATCACTCTGGTAACCTTTAGCTCTATTTGGTTATATTGGTTATGGTAGTTAGCCTTTCATTTGTTTTTTCCAGATACACTTGTCTACCTGAGTTTAAGAACTGGTCCTTTCCCAGAAGGCTAGAGAAATGCCCACAGACCCCAGGGACCAGCCTGACCCCGGCCCACAAGGTCAGAGGCAGGTGTGTGAGTGTAAAAACGATACTGCCCATCCACCCCACCCGGCACTGCCCTCAGTATGATGCTGATAATAAGCCTTACCTTTTCTTTGTTCACTTTTTTAATTGCCCACTTAGTTCCTGTTTCCTTGTTTATAGCTTCAATGACCACTCCAAAGCTCCCTTTTCCCAATATTCTTCCAAATGTGTATATTTCCTGGATAAAAAATAAGAGTTCTTTTGTCTCTCCCTGCCATTCATTGGGTATTAAAAAATAAACACTAATACTGACAGATATCTACCCAAGGGAAGAGAGATTCTGCTCTAGGGTGAAATCAAATTGAAGACATCATATATTTGCTTCAATATTAATAGACACATCTTAATTAAACAAAAATAAGCTTTGATGGATTTCATTAAATGTCCTTTGGAGGAAAACCATAAAAATCCTAATGGAGAAAGGTGCAAAACCTCAAAAGCATAAAAATTAATCTCTTACAAACTATGATAATAAAATAAATTTGTAAGAAAAAGGAATGAAATATTAATACAGACATACACACATATATATGTGTATATAAAATACATTCATCCCCAAAATTATCCCAAAACTCTGAGAGCTATACCATAAAATTAACACATATTAACCATTGAACAATTGCTTTCTTGTTTATCAAGTAACACTTTTTCTTTATCTTCATTATGTCTATTAAGAATCTCTTTTGTTGTTTTATTCCTTTTGTTTTAGAACAAGCAATATGTGACAGAAATCTTGATATAAATCAGCACTGAGGAGAAAGTAAAAGCCATCTGTAGTTACACTATCCAGGCCAAGAATCCTTCCGCTTATCATTCAACTTCCGCTACACACACAGGATGTACTGGTCTTGCTGACACCAGGCCACTTGTTTACGCTTTCATTTCTTGTGAATTTGGTTGGAGGAGTCAGTCTCCCGCATCCAAACCAACAAGAATTTCTGGACCTTGCAAGTTTCTGAACAGCTGAGGTAATGCCACTGGGCGACACCTCTGCTGGGTCAGCCAGCCGAAGTCTGCCCTAGAACTGCTACTCTCTCTGTGTGATCACTTTCACCTTCACCATCACAGGTCAATTAGTTGCTAGGCTTCATATTTCCTACTGCTTACTTTCCTTTCTTTAGTAAAAGAAGATTCAATGCCCAACTAATTATTTATCTTTCTTGAAGGGCTTCCCTAACTGCACTGTGGTGCTTGTACACATCGGCCCTTAAACACTGTTATTACTCTCTTGCTTACATTTTCACTCAATTTTCTCCAAGATGGTCTAGAAGCTATTTAAGAAGTTGTTCCTTTTGTATCTTTTAAAAAGTCTATCCTGAAACCTTGTAGGTAATATATTCATTTTAGTGCATGGGGGGGGGGTGGCAGAGGGAAGGAAGGAAAGGAGGGAAGAAGGGAAGGAGAGAGGGAGGGAGGGAGGGAGGGAGGGAGGGAGGGAAGGGGAGACGAAGGAAGGGAAGGGGAAGGGAGGAAGAAAAGAGAGAGAGAGAAGGAAAGGGAAAGAGAGAAAGATGGGGAGGGAGAGAAAAGAAGAGAGAGGAGGGAAGGGAAGAAAAGGGAAGAAAGAAGGAAATATTCAGTTTCAACATGTTAGACTTTCCCTAGGTATTTCCTTGTGATATACACTTTGGGGGCTACAAAGTTGAATAAAACATAATTCCTCTTTTCTCAGAATTTGTAATCTCCTCAAGAGACAAGATTATTCTTAAGTCAGAAAGTCTTAAGTTAAAATAAAAATATAAAATGATGTTGGGGCCAAAGACTAGAGCTAAAACACTGGGAGAATAAAATAAACATTATCAAAGAGGTGGCTTCTGAGATTGGCATGTGAGGGAACAAAGGCAAAAAAAGACTTTTTTTTCCCCCCCAATAATCCAAGCAAGGCAAGGAAGGCATTACAAAGGGATAGCAAACATGGAATGAATTAGTGAATTGATAAGTGAATGAATCAGCAAATCCAGTCAGCAAGCCAGCCAGTCAGAATCCTCCTACATGTACATGTTTGAGAGAAACGATAGACTGGGTATTCGAAGTTGAACCCTGGGAGGAGCTCCAGATTTATGGTCATGCATATTATACACAGAGACTCCTAGACTCGGGCACATCCTGTCCCCAAGACACTGCTTTCTGAGGACTTATAATTACTTTGGCTCTCCTCCCTCCCTCACTATAGTGAGAATTAAAGTCGGAAAACTAAGATGATTAAAATAAAATATTTTACTTTTACTATATTTATGTGCCACTCCCAACTACATGTTATGTAAAATTAGTTAAATCTAAATTTAAATGGTCATTTATACTTTTTTCTCCACAGAACAAAATAATCGCAACTCTATAACTATTTCCCTAATTTTTCTTAACCTTTAAAAACTAAACTCTCATTTTCTTTCTAAATATATAGAACCACAACTTAGACGCAGAATATTAATGTTGTTTAAGTAAGACTTTTTAAAATGAGGACTGGATAGAGAAATAGCCCAAATGCCCAACTGTGGTTTTTTTTTATATACATTAATCTTTTTCTCCAACTACCTATTTTGATATCATTACATAGTGATAAAAATAAGAAGATGACTTCATTTGTACTAATTTTAAGAGGATGCTACTAAAATAGTAATATAGATAGATTTTTATTGACATAGAGCAAGTCCATGATATAGTGTGGAATGTGAAAACATGATGCTGCTATCACATTCTGAAAATGTTGAGAGAATGGGTGTATGGGGGGGTGTCTCACATTAATGTCTGGGAAGATGTTCATTTAAATATCGAGCACTTAACACTAGGAAGTAGAATTTTGGATTATTGTAACTTCCTTTTTTATACTCTACCAAAATATTTAGAATCTTCAAAGTGAGCCTATCCATTAAATAGAGGAAGAGAAACTTCAACTGTACCAGTTAAGGTTATTTGTCAAAAATATGTACATACTTGGAATATTTCATAATTTAAAACAAAACTGAAAAGAAAAAAATAGGATGACTTATACATGCATAAAAAATAAAGTAGAGGTAGTAAATGTTAAAACTGATTATCTCTGGCTCATGATTTTTTTTTTTTTCATTTTTCTATCTATGGTTTCCTAATTTTTCACAACAAACACATTTTGATTTTATGAAAGCTCTTATGACTAAATTTAAAACTCAGTAAATTTATAGGTTTTTAAAATTCTTTAAAAGGGGAGATTTAAACTTTTCAAATCAGAATTTCTCAGGAAGTTTTTCTGATCACTTTGAGTATATTGCCAAATATCTCTTAAAATATTTTTTAAAGTTAACATTATTGCAAAATTCTTCTTGTAGTTGTTCTTGCTGAAGTTCCTTTAAACTGATGTTAAAATAACATTTAATTTCTAAAATGGTACTAATATTTAATTCATATTTGTATGTTATAATTAGAATCCTAGGAAGACAATATTGGTATTCATCCAACCTGAGGCCACAGAAAATGGCCCCAAGGAAGTGAACAGCCAAACCACCTCAAGTCATCTGGGCTCTCTCTGCATTTTAAAGAGATCTACACCAAGTCTCCACAATTGCCCTCAGCAACAGGCAAGACCTGAAGGCCAAAATGTTCGCATTTTATCTAATAAAATACCTCCATTTGGTCCTCTATGAATGGAATCGTCTGCATTTTCTGAAGTAACGACTTGGACAACCTTGAAAATGGTAAATTTCCCCTTTCCTTTCCTTCCCTGGAGACTTATTTTTAAATCATTCTTTGCCATTAACCATTGACGGAAGAAACCTGAAATTCCCTGGTCACTTCATTATATTTCTAAATACCTGAATAGCAGCTCCGTCGTCCACCCTGATGTGAGGAACTTTTACTTCGGAAACGTTGCCCCGACCCCACTGTTGTTGAGATGGCTTTTTCTCTATATTTGAGGATTTTGAGGGCTTAGCCCAAAAAGGAATTAAAAAAAGTAATTAAGATATAACACACTTGTGGAGAAAAGTAAGAACCCTAATTTAGATTATATGACAAATCTTCAATGTGTGCTATGATATTTATTGCATACAATATAATTAATTCACTGTCTTTTTCAAATTCAAAGCCCTATACAATGTTTTGGCTCATTGGGCTAAAAGAGATCTTAAGAAGTCACTCAATCTAATCTCCTAAATCCAAGCTAGTGTACATTATAACCTGCATAGCAGATAAATCATAACTTACTCGATGATTCTTTGAAATCATGAGAAGGCAACTTCACAGCTTTCTCAATCATTCTTGTTTCAAAACATATCATCTCAAATAGGTTATACATAAAAAAATTATTGGCCAGACATTCACAAAATATGCTTTGAATAAAAATAACACAGTAACAACTCACTCAGTAACAACTAACTCAGAGACACCTATATGGCAATAATTATACTGTAATACAAATCAGGAAAGAACAGTCTAAGGGGAGAATTTGAAAAAGGTACAACTTTGAGGGCTGAGAACCTAACTTTTCTTAAATGCACTGCTTTCTGTCTCCAAAGCTGTGCTACATCAAGTGAAGCCTTGCACACTGCCTCTTCTCTGGAAAGGTGAGTACACCCAAACCAGTCCCACTGGGCAGGCACACACTGTTGTAAACAATGCAAATTGATTTGGGGGAGTATATTTGAGATTCCATCTAAATAACCAGAAATTGTCTTAAATAATAACTACCCTATATCTAACTACAACTATAAATGTAATTCTGCATTTAAAAAATCCCCAAATTCAGATTTAATTCAACTTGAAAACCAATTTATTTCTATATAAGCCACTTTTAAAGAGAAACTGGAACAACATTCTGAATTATTCATAATCCTGGGAAATAATTAATATGGGCAGTGTTGGAAATATCATAAAAGAAAGTACTAACCAACTTTGCTCACCCCTTATGTAAAAAAGTAATGTCTCTAATAGTTCAGAAGGCAGTGAATTAGCTGACAAGGGCCCATGAATGAAGCCAGGGATGGGATTAGAGAATGAGATTTCGACTTGTGTTCAGAAACAGAATCTTTGATATTTACCACATCTTTTGCAAAGGCCTTATATTTAATAATTCGTTGTTCTTTTTTTCTCTCCAGTGGAATTGAAGAGTCTGCTTCACCAAGGCTTGATGTACCTGACGTTTCCGACGCCACTAACACTGGAATAAGCCTTGTTTTACTGGAACTGACACAAGGTGCATCTTTCTGAGAAGTAGATGAACAGTTGGGACGCTTGGCGGTTTTTTTCCCAAAGCCACTATCAGCCATTTTCTGAACTCTGCAACAAAAGCAACTTGAAAGAAAGATGCTTCCACTCTTTGAGGGAAAGAACCAGACCAAAAAAAAAAAAAAATAGGTAAGCTGATGGCAAAGTTTGTAAGTTCCAATTGGTGAGGTCCTTATGTTAATGATGCACTAAACTTATATTCACACATGAGAGCTGCAGAAAGAAAAGAAATCACCATTTAGAAAAATTCTTTCTTATCCTATCACCCTCCTAGAAGTGAGAGGAAAAACTAGCAACTAGCACCAAAAGCATCTTGCCTAGTCCTCGCCGGTTTGGCTCAGTGGACAGAGCGTCGGCCTATGGACCAAAGGGTCCCAGATTTGATTGTGGTCAAGGGCACCATGTACCTTGGTTCTAGCCTCCTCCCTGCCCTGACCGGGGCTCGTGCAGGAGGCAACCAATTGATGTGTTTCTCTCACATAGATGTTTCTCTCTGTCTTTCCCTCTCTCTTCCATTCTAAAAGATCAATGGAAAAATATCTTCTGGTGAGGATTAACCAAAATTTTTTTTTCTAAAAACAAACATACTGTCTATAAATGAAAAGTTAATATTTACAACAAAATTAGGACATATTTCTAAAAAGCAATGGATTCTCATCTTTCAAAATTGAATTCTTGAACTTTAGAAATTTTACTTGTTTTACCATCAAAAGAACCATGAAACTGCTGAAAAGCATAGTCTAAGGAAGTCAATTGGGTGAGTTGATATAAAGTTTTTAAATGAAATAAAATAGATAACATCAGAGTATTTTACATAGATTCTTGGTAAGTTTTGTAAAAAACTTTATTATATATATATATATATATATATATATATATATATATATATATATATGATGTTTGTGTGTGTATGTGTATACCTGGTCACATTATAGAATGTATTTCTTAATATAACTTTGGTTTTAAAAAAAGGCTTAAAATACAGGTATAAAACATACATTACCATGATTTCAAAATTTAAACCTTGGTCTAATAATTATTAGAGAAAATACATATTATACACATCACAAAGAAGTAGACAATTTGATTTTATAAAACAATCTAATTCTAAAAGTTCAAAGGCAATATTAGAAGTATCCTCATTTTTATATTTAAATAGCAAAAATAGGAAATAATGGGTGCTGTTTTCCCTGAGTGCGTAATATGTATGCCCAGAAATCAACCTAACTAAGGCTATTGGCAGTAATACGGTGCCAAGTTGAAAAGATCTAAGCTAAGGAAGGAGGGAGGAATGTGTTCTGTGGTACATGTAAGAGAAATTTCCAGAAGTAACTGGGAATACATTATTATAGTCTTGTGCCATACTATTTCAGATATTATTTAAAAGTTTACAGGGTTGGGCAAAAGTAGGTCTACAGTTGTTAGTATAAAAAATAATACAATAATTAATAAATAATAATACAAGAATAAAGTGTGTTTTGCGTACTCACAACTGGAAACCTACTTGTGCCCCACTCTGTACTTTGTAGTCACAGGTTTCTATTGAAAAACAAGGCCAACCATTTGTAAGAGGAGCATGTGTATGTCTGTTTACTGGCATCATTTGCATTCTTTTCCCCCTCTACCTGTCTAAAGGGTACTTTTTATACACCTTTTCTTTCTTTTCTTCTTTTTTGTCAACCAGGATTAGAATCTTTATATTTTCTCAGTAAAGTAATATCAACATGAAGAAAATGAAATTGCGCTCACGGGCAAAACGAACCCCACATTATTATGCCACCTTTGGAAAACTCATTGAAAACTGTAAAGCTCAGTATTTATCAAAGCTATTGGGACTTCACAATAATTGCTTGTTATTTAAAGTTGAAATTTACTCCAAAGAGCATGAAATCAAAATTATAATTCACAAGCACATTGCATATAACAAAGCTTTTTATTTATTTACTTATTTTTTCAATTACACTTGACATACAATATTATTTTGGTGTCAGGTGTACATTATGATTAGACATTTATATACCTTATGGAGCGCTCATCCCAATAAGTCTAGTACCCATATGACATACATAGTTATTACAATATTATTGACTATACTAGAGGCCCGGCATATGAATTCATGCATGGGTGGGGTCAATTGGGGCCAGGGCCAATTATGGCAGGACTGGCCAGGGGGAGGAGCCGCGGGAAGTTGGGGCAGGGGGGGATGGGGCCCCAATCAGGCCGAATGGCTGCCACAGTGTGTGTCATAGTGACTGGTCATTCCATTTGCTTGGCTTTTATATATATAGAATATACTAGTACCGTGGTTGGCAAACTGCGGCTCGTGAGCCACATGCGGCTCTTTGGCCCCTTGAGTGTGGCTCTTCCTAAGCCTTAGGAGTACCCTAATTAAGTTAATAACAATGTTCCTACCTATATATTTTAAGTTTAAAAAATTTGGCTCTCAAAAGAAATTTTAATTGTTGTACTGTTGATATTTGGCTCTGTTGACTAATGAGTTTGCCGACCACTGTACTAGTATATAGATTCCCTATGCTGTACTTTTTACATCTCTGTGACTATTTTTATTACTGGCAATCTATACTCCTTAAATCCCTTTAACCTTTTTCACCCATCTCCCAATCCTTCTCCCATCTGACAACCATCAAAATGTTCTCTGTATCTATGAGTTTTTTGTTTATTTTGGTGGTTTGTTTTAGATTCCACATATAAATGAAGTCATATGGTATCTGTTTTCTTGTCTCTTTCATTTAGAATAATACTCTCTAGGTTCATCCATGTTGTTGCAAATGGCAAGATTTCCTTCTTTCTATGGCTGAGTAATACTGCATTGTACATATGTACCACATGGAAGGAACTATCTTTACCTCATGGTATATTCTTGCCTCTTTTGTCATAGATCGACCAGATAGCCATGGGTTTATTTATGGACTCTCTATTCTGTTCCATTGATCCATATGTCTATTCTTATGCCAGTACCATGCTGTTTTGATTACCAGAGTTACTTGTAGTATAGTTTAGTATAAGGTAGTGTGATATCTCCAACTCTGTTCTTTCTGAAGATTGTTTGGGCTACCTAGGGGTTTTTTTGTGTTTCCATATATGCTTTTGGATTACTTTTTCTAGTTCTGTGAGAAATATCATTGGTATTTTGATAGGGTTGCACTGAAAATGTAGACTGCTTATGGGCATTTTAACAATGTTTATTCTTCCCATCCATCAGCATGTTATAAGACCCTTTTTACTTGCTATCTTCTTCAGTTTCTTTCCTCAAGGTCTTACAGTTTTCTGAATACAGGCCTTTTACCTTCTTGCTTAAATTTATTCCTAGGTATTTTTTTTTGATGCAATTGTAAATGGGATCATTTTCTTAAATTTCTGTTTCTGATAGCTCATTATCCTATACTAGGGGCCCAGTGCACGAATTCATGCACCTTGAAAGGAACTGTGGGCCGCGAGGCTTCAGTGGGCACAGGGGCAGGTCTTGGCCCATCCTCCACACCCCCACCCAGCTCCTCCCACCACGGCCCCCAGTCCCCTGTCTGCTGGAAGCCCCACTCCCAATGCCACTGTTCCCACTTGCTGATGGTGCTGGCCCTGTTCACATTCGCTGATGGCACAGAGCAATTGGGGCCAGTGTCAGCAGTGGGTGCGAGTGGCGGCTGCTGCCCCAATTGCCCCTCAGGATCAGGGGGAAGTGGAGAAGCCCTAAGGGGCGACTGGGACCGGCAACTGCTGCTCGCACCCACTGATGGTGCTGAGCAATCGATCAGGGCCGGTGCTGGGTGCCAGCAGCGGGTGTGAGTGGTGGCTCCGGTGCCAACAGTGGTTGCAAGCAGGGCCAGCACCAGCAGCAGGTGCGAGTGCTGGGCAGGACCGTGGCATGCGAGAGCAAAGAATTTTCAGTAACCACCAGAGGCTTACCCCAATGACAGCGATCTGCGCCCCGCCTTGGTCTGGCACCCTCACTCACCTGCTCCACCATCCTGCCACAGCTAATGCCCTCCATGTTCCACGCTCTGCTGCCTGCTGCTGATGCCTGCCATGTTCTGTGCGTGCCCCCTGGTAGTCAGCGCATGTCATAGTGATCGGTTGATTGTTCCACCATTTGGTCTATTTGCATATTAGGGTTTTAGTATATATAGATAATAAAAGCCTAATATGCTAAGTGTCTGGTTGTCCAGTCATCTGTTCAACCAATCAAAGAGTAATATGCTAATGATATGCTAAGGACGCTCAACCATTTGCTATGACGTTCACTAACCACCAAGGGGCAGACACTCCAACCAGTAGGTTAGCTTGCTTCTGGGGTCCAGCTGATCAGGACTGAGCGAGATGGGCCAGACATGCCCTGGAGCCTTCCTGTGGTCCCACCCTGGCTGGCCAAACTCCTGCATCCCTCCCCGGTCCCTATTGTGCACCGGTGGGGTCCCTCGGCCTGGCCTGTGTCCTCTCGCAATCTGGGACTCCTCAGGGGATGTCAGAGAGCCGGTTTTGGCCCGATCCCGCAGGCCAGGCTGAGGGACCCCACTGGTGCACGAATTTGTGCACTGGGCCTCTAGTTGGCATATAATGGAAAATGATTCCTGAAAATGGAAATGATTTCTGAATATTAATTTTGTATCCTGCTACTTTACTGTATTCATTTATTAGTTCTAATCATTTTTTGTGGGGAATCTTTAGTGTTCTCTATATACAATATCATGTCATCTGTAAATAATGACAGTTTGATTTCTTCCTTTCCAACTTTAATGTCTTTATTTCTTTTTCTTGTCTGATTGCTGCAGCTAGGACTTTCAAGATTATGTTGAATACAACTAATGAAAGTGGACATCCTTGTCTTGTCTTGTTCCTGATCATAAGGAAAAGCTTTTAACTTTTCACCACTGAGTACAATGTTAGCTGTGGGTTTGTCATAAATGACCTTTATTACATTGAGGTAGGTTTCCTCTATTCCCACTTTGCTGACAGTTTATTATAAATGGATGTTGGATTTTGTCAAACGCTTTTTCTGCATCTATTAAAATTATCTTATGATTTT